CCTGTTGTGCCTGTTGTGCCTGCTGTGCCTGGCATGTCCTTCGGCCGGCTACTGTTGATGATGATTGCCCATTGCCCCGATCCGGCATAGCTGTTGTAGATATGATGAGACGAATTATGCCATAAATGCCAAGGTAAAGCCGTCCGAAATTTTGCCAACTAAATCGTTGCTTGGATGAACCTTCAGCGCGCTTCGAGGCAGCTCATCTCGTAATATCCCAACACGGAGAAAAAGTAGAGTGGAGCTAGTCCCTACCTAAAATACCCTTTGAAATATGGAAAATTCCAGTTTGCGGAACTATTTTCCCATCTGCCTGTTGATATTGGATTAAATTGCAAAAGTTAAAGAGCCCTTCCTATACATAATCCAACTACCAACTTAATCTACTTGAGTTTTCTGGCTGTGCAGCTATGCCCCCGTGCACTATATCATAATCCGGCGGAGGCAATCAAGCCATCAAAATATCGCAGCAACCGAAAACACTTTCATTAAACTAAATTTTTATTGTGGCACCACACCAGAGACCCGAGTCGATCCCAGGGATCGACGTCATTTTCATTTATGGCGATCTGGCGATCTACCAGCCGATTCAAAAGGCTGACTATAAAACTTTGACCCAGTTTCCCCGCTGGTTGTTATCATCCGTATGCTCGAATGCCTTTGCCTTTGCTGTTGCTGTTGCTGTTGCTGTTTCAGTTGGCTCTTTCAAGCAAAATTGCTACAAATTACACAGTTTTCGGGGCGCAAAAGTGTGCCGCATGCGTGACAGAGCAGCGCGGCAACTTTTCCCCCTTTTGCAATTAAGCCCTGGCCGATGCCGCAGATTAAAGTAAATAATATCTGATGGTAGTGCCATGTGTCCGCTGCCTTACAATAACTCATAAACTGTAATCACTTAGGTCGCCGGGCATCAGGCCGCGAAACTAGTTATCCTTATCGATGCGCCCTGCTCTGCCTTACTACCCAAGTCCCCAAATGATTACTCCTCCTCTCCTTCCCTTTCCCCATCCCCCACGTAACAGCCCGATTTCCAATCATACACAGTGCGAAAAATCTAATTACCTGTGTAAATGAGTCTGAAAGTTCAAGCTGATCTGAAGTGAAAATCAGAAAAGTGAAAAAAGTAAACTACTGAAGATTAGTATTGATTTTTCCCGGTGTAGCGAAGGGAAACGAAGAAGCTGGCAACGGCCAACATAAAATCGCTCTTTATCGCCGTTATCCCCTTGATTTATCTCTCACTTTACAAGGGCCACACTTTTCCCGGCCATAATGAACAATTTCAATTTTTAAATAATCCATATCTCTGGCAGGGCTTTCCATTTTCCTACGAGTTTCCAATAATTAAAACCAAAACCCAAAACTTTGTGTCCTTTTCCCTCCTTAAGTACAGAAAGAAGACGAAAGAACGCCAACGCTGACGCCAACATGGGCAGAGATCGCTGGCAGAAGTGCAAGCTTAATCAAAACCAAAAAAGGCTGTGTAATGTACAGTTTGCAAAACGGCACAAAGATAGAGAGCACTAAAGTCAACGTAGGCGCAGGCAGCTATGTCCGGCAGAGATCTAAGCTAAACCAAAAAAAGTTATACTCAATGTACAGTTTACAAAACGCGCAAAAGTAGAGAAATCAGTAGAGCAGGCAGCAGTGCAAAAGTAGGCAAAAAAAAACTTATAAAAACAAATTGGGGACGAAACGCCAATGGCGACGCCGACATGGGCAGAGATCGCTGGCAGAAGTTTGAACTCAATCAAAACCAAAAACGGCACAAAGGGAGGGAGCACTGACGTCAACCTAGGCACAGGCAGCTATGTCCGGCAGAGGTGTCGGCTAAACCAAAAAAGTTCTACTCAATGTACAGTTTACGAAACGCACAAAAGGACAGAAATCAGTACAGCAGAAAGCAGTACAAAAGTAGGCAAAAAAAAACTTTTAAAAAAAAATTGGGGACGAAACGCCAATGGCGACGCCGACATGGGCAGAGATCGCTGGCAGAAGTGCGAGCTCAATCAAAACCAAAAACTGCACAAAGGGAGGGAGCACTGACGTCAACGTAGGCGCAGGCAGCTATGTTCGGCAGAAATCTAAGCTAAACCAAAAAAAGTTCTACTGCAATGTACAGTTTACAAAACGCGCAAAATGGGAGAAATCAGCGGAGGAAGCAACAGTCCAAAAGTGGGCAAAAAAAACTTTTAAAAACAAATTGGCGACAGAACGCCAATGGCGACGCCAACTTGGGCAGAGATCGCTGGCAGAAGTGCGAACTTCATCCAACCCCAAAAAGGCTGTGTAATGTACAGTTTTCAAAACGGCACAAAGATAGAGAGCACTGACGTCAACGTCCGCGCAGGCTGCGATGTCCGGCAGAGGTCTAGGCTAAACCAAAAATGTTATACTCAATGTACAGTTTACAAAACGACACAAAAGGAGAGAATAGTGACGTCAACGTCAGCGTAAGCAGCAGTGCCAAAGTAGGCAAAACTTTAAAGAACAATTTGAAACAAATTGACGAAACGAACGCCAACGCCGACGCCGACCAAAATTCGCTGGCAGGAGTGCGAACTCAATCGAAAGGAAAAGTTTCTGTTCAATGTACCACGCTGACGTCGACGTCGCCGCTTGCAGCGATGGCCGACAGAAGTGCAAGTTTAAACAAAACCGAAAAGTCTATGTTCAAGGGTACAGTACAAAACGACAAGACAGGAGAGACATTGACGTCGACGTCAGCGCAGGCAGCGATGTCCGGCAGAAGTGCGAAAGTAGGCAAAAAAAAAACAATTTAAAACTAGTTAAATATGCTAAGCGAATAAAAAAAGGAATTAGCCAAGAGTTGACTATCGTATTGGCAATTAAATGATTAATTAATATTCATTAAATTAGAACGCCCACGCCGAAGTCGACGGAGGCAGAGATTAACGGCAGATATTGCCAGCAGAGATTGCAGGCAGAGCTTCGATATTAAGGAAAAAAACGGATAAAAACGTTTAATAGCTATTTAAAACATACTTAAATATGTAAGGGAATGCGGAAAAACACCCTCTGGCAAAGCCGACAATCGAATTTGCATTTTATTTACATTTAATTTGCATTTTTAAAGAAATCAAACACAAACACTTACACCCTCAGAAGAGGAAAAGCAGATAAACTAAGAGAAAACGCAAAAAGCGCAAGCCAAAATGTTAGTTTAGCCATAGAAAATACTTAATTCAACTACGATTGTTAAGTCTAATTACTTAACTTACCATTTTCACTGTTTTACACTAGTGTGCACTTTTTTTCCCCACTTTTCACTACTTTTCACTACTTTTCACCACTTTTCACTACTTTTCACCACTTTTCACTGATTTTGCTATCCGCTTCCAAAAACTTAACTGACGCGCACTTGTGCCAAGAAGCTAATGACATCTCTCCGCCGCTAGATCCATGATGGAAGCGAAAGTGTCGAAAGCGTCGAGAACAGCAATGGCAGATTTTTGGAGACTTTTCATGAGCTTCCTTTACATCTCTTCTTCACGGCCATTCGGAGATCGTAAGGCGTTTGACGTAAGAACATTTGACATCCGTTAGGCAACGTAAGGGAATACTAGAAGTAAAAGGAAAATAAATGGCATTTAAGTTAATTTCTCAGCTTTTAATCATTTTAATTAAGGTAAATTATTAAGCACACTTAAAGACATGATATTAGATCCGAAAAATACATATCTTACAATAACTTAAATACTTAAAATTTAATTATAAAATCAAATATAATTTGAATACATTTTAAGCTCGAAGTCTGACTTGTACTAACATTTTGTATGGGACTCTTTAACAATTTGCCGATGTGTGAAGCGACATGGCCGTTATCAAAGATTACTTCTTGGATCCTCTGATACCCTGATCCCCTGATCCCCTGATCCCCCTTTCCATGATCCCCTCCACTGTTCTTACTCCTCTTTCGGGCCTTATCGATACGTACGATATGCGAAGCCTGTTTGCTGTTTAAATGCGTATTGATTATCATTAGTTAAGTTGTTAACTGATTCCGTTTAGAGATTTGTCAGGCGAACAACTTGGCCGAGGATTCCGATTCGGCTGGCGAAATATTTTAATGTGATTTATCTGGCCGACTAACAACGGCGAAAGGACAAGGATCGCTCGATCGACGGAGCCATAAATCAGGCGGAGCTTTTGCGGCTAATGAGACAGATTGCCCCGTCTGCGAGGCTCGGACTGGGATTCCCTCCCCCCTCTCTCTCACTCTCTTCACCTCTGGTACATCTCTGGCAGGGTCAAATGCCGGTGGTCCCGCGATAAACCATCCGAGCCCCAAACGCAATTGCAGCAAATGATATTTTATTGGTATTTGAGAGCGGCGTTCGATGATGCAATTGCTGGGTCAATAAATTCTGAGCTCCATATCGTTCATTAGGCAGCGATCTTGGGGTATACACTCAGAGAAAGGTACTATAGCTTAGCATATATCTTATAGAGATCCTCCCCGTCAGATCGAAAGGTTTTCTGGCAGTGCCTAAGGTCGTGAGCTGGATGGGATCGACCACCGGGTGCGTTTCTTGTGGGAGAATCGAGTCCTAATCCCCGGTTAAAGCACAAAAAATAACATCACATAAATAATGCGTTCATTGGGTTCCACTTCACTTCACTTCAGTTTCAGTTTGAGTTTGAGTTCCAATTTCGCATCGAGTTGTTTTTCTGGCCCCCTGGATCTTGTTTTTTTCACAATAAATCACGCGACAGGCCAATTAGGTGCGCACAATTTGCGATCCCTGATCCCAGATCAGGGCCCAGATCCCAGATCCCAGCCAGGAGCTAAAAAAAACCACCAACCACTGCCTCAAGAAGACCCATCCATGCCCCTTGCCCACTCCCAACTCCAATTGCAACTCAATTAGGCATGTTTTGTACCGCAGTTCGACCTAATCCCTGGCCCATAGATAAGGGTTATCACTGCCGCTGCCGCATAATTCCCCGTATCCCGTTCGTAGATAAAGTCAGACTGGTAATTGATGATATCGCCCGACCTTAACGATATGAATCACGAACATAAAATTGTTTTATTTTTAAAGGTTCTTAAATCTAGGCTTGCTAGCCCAAAAAAAAAAAGGTTTTAACTATCTTAGACTCTCGTTTCTCTTTCAGGGAATCATCAGAACTATCAGAACAGCTTCCACAGGCCACTACCCAGCACCAGCAAGGTGAAGAACTGCCACAGGGCCAAAGGAGTGAAAGAAACCGCCGAGTTAACCGGAGCAAATCCCAATCTCTGGTTGCCCACATCGAACTCGGTGTAGAAGCGGCCCAGGAAGACATCGCCCATGATCCAGAAGTCCTGGTTGATGGACTGAATGGCCAGGGAGCAGAAGTAGCCCTCTTCGATGATGTAGTACTTGGCCGGGATGCTGAATTCCACGCCATTAATGGTGATCACCAGATCAGGGTAGGAATACGAGGAACTGCACTGGAAGAGACCATCCGCGTTGGCATTAAAAAGAGCAGCAATGGCATCGAACTCCGCCACGGGAGCTATAATCAAGGAGGTGCCAGTGTCCGCGATGGCCGCATCGTAGACGCTGATGATGGAGCTGCCAATTCTGATGGAGTCCGTTTGGAACTGCCAGTAGGCCGCCTGGGTGACGGGGGTGTAGGTGAGGCCACCTCTGTAGAGCGAGGGATCCGAGCCGCCCAGAATCAGTTCGCCTCCATAGTTAACGGTGCTGCCGTTGTCGTGGAGGAAGAACGAGAAGACGGGACTCTGGACGACACCCTGGCTAATCATGTTCTGGAACGTTGGCGTGACACCATTGGCAGCCAAGGCTGGGAAGCCCATGCCCAGTATTCCGTCGAAGGAGGCGTCCGCAAAGTTGGTTCCATTCTCGGTGGTTACCTCACCGAACGTCTGATTCCGTACAGTCAGGCCGGCGAAGCCCACATAATCCGTAGATAGATATCCCGAAACGCTGCCGGTTCCGTAGGTTATGGAAAAGGCCGTTCCATTGGCCACATAAGTGCTGGATTGGTTTTCGTAGAACATGTGGTGCTCCTCGCAGGCACAGGAACTGCCCGGCACCCAGAGGTTCGAGGAGCCCGTGTCGAACTGCACCAGGAAGTACTGTGCTGGAGTTCCGATGCTGATGTTTCCGTAGTACTGGTAGTTGTCATAGTTGGACAGCGGCTCCACGGGATAACCATTGGCGGTGTAATCGCGACTGTACTTCCTCTGAATGTAATCCCTTTCGGCCAGAATATCCTTGTGGCTGCGCCTAAAGCTCGTTGATCTCTGTATGGGTATACGGTGAACGGTGGCACTGGCTGCGTCGCAGAGGACGCCCAGCAGCAGGATCCCGGCCAGAAAGCCCAATGTTTTCGTATAAAAACCAGCCATGTTCACGCTGGCACCTAGCAACCAAGACTAACTGGGCGTCCGCTATCTAAGGGGGTTCTTATAGAGAAGAAGGTTCTGATAAAAAATACAAAAATCTGGAGCTTACCACGATAAGGGTGTCGCGTGTATGTGGTGACCGCGATTGTGTTTGGCAATCAATCAAATTACTCCACAAATCTCGGCCAGAAAGGCCGCGTTGCGAGTTCAAGAGTTCCAGAAATTTGTGCTCTTTCGATTACTGCAATTGCAAGTGCAATTACCACTGCAATTTCACTAAGGAAACTTCGATTTACACCATCAAAATGACTTCCTTATCTCTCATTTATTCAAATTATAATGCTCGAGGGGAAAGACTTCACGAGGATTAGTTCCTAAGCATGCCCGTACATTGTATTCCACCCCTTTGACTGATCAAACCGATAACTGGCCGTAACTTCATATCTTCCCGTTATCAAATTATGATTCAAGGTGCGTTGATCACCACAAAAGTCACCTCGCGCTAATCCTCCACTGAAAATTCCAGGAAATGACGAAGAAAACTTTGCCATACGTCATGTCTGCAATTTGCTTTCCGTTCTTCGTCATTCTGGCTTCTAATTTAAGTCTAATTTAACAACATAAGCCCTTAGTTTATGTGATTAAGTTAGTCAAGTTTAAGGTTGGCAACCATTTCCCAGACACATTCAAATGGAAATCACTTCCTGCCCGGCGAATTCGCCATGGAACCTGGCCAGATGAATGCTAATTAGCCTGGCTGTCCATTGCTAATGGAGTTGTCAGGTTCCGCCTGAAGGTGTGGGAACATTTATGGATTGACCCGGACCAGGACATGGTAATGCCCGAAGTAATGCCTGAAAGCCAGACCCACCAAGACGAACTGCGAGAGATGAATGAGGAAAGTCAGAGAAGGTGGACAAAGAGTTATTGTTTTTAATGTATGCACAAAGGTCAGAGGACACAGCAGAGGTCCTGCCCGGACTGACTACATGCACATATACTATATAGCTGCTGGCATATGTATGGGTGTCCTTAGGTGTCGGCCACTTGATTAGCCATGACCTAATGTTGCACCAAACACAATGGGCCATGATGAGCCCTTTTGTCGCCCGTGCGGCAGTGTCAACTTGGATTAGTCGCGCTACCAACCGATCTTAGACAGTCTCTATATAGTTACAGTCGAGGTCGAGGAAATAGCAATCTTTAAGTCTTCAAAATAATCTCAAGCCTTGATGGAAACTCTTTCCCTAGCTCGATTTTTCCATACTCAAAGTCAAAGATATATTCCAGATTTCGGAAAGTGTTCTTGAAATAGCCAAGGCTACTATTTTCTTGACCCCTGCTGTCCAGCAGCGATCCTTTGCGTGGGCGCTCAAGTCAAACAAATTGAAAATTTATCACCCGAAGCGAATGGCACCGCACACCGTACCCGAAAAAAATAGAAACTGAGAAAGAAAGGCGAACCGATGATGGGTTTGGGTGCCAGGGCTAATGCATTTTTTACACTATGCTACACTGTGCTACTTGCAACGGTGGCTATCACAAATTCACTCAACCATTCGCAAATTGATTTCGCTTTGCCCGAATGTGTCAACCGAACAATGTCTCTTCCCTGGCTATGGCTATGGCTATGGCTATGGCTATGGATTTCCCGGCTTTTTCCTCGGCTCTATCCAATTTCAAAGGAGTTCCACACGCAAATGCCGCCTGGAGAAGCTCGTGAAAGTCATTGGCCCGCTGTGAACTGGCAATACACTGCAGGAAAAACTTCTAAATTTAGACTGGGCACTGATTTTGATATAAATTGCCTATAAAAAGAACTTTCTTCTTAGGGAAATCTTATTTTCGGGCAAGAAATTCATAGAGTTCCTTGCAGAAATCTTTGTAAAACTTAAAGCCCGACTTTTCCCACAGTGTAGTGCCTTTGGAGTGGGTGCAGACTTTCGGCTCTGTCGGCTGGGAGCTGCAGATATATATCTTGGGCATGCTATATGGCCCTCGGACCTCGGGGCGCTGCGTTTTAACTTCAATTTCATTTCGCCTGATCGATTTTTGCACGCAAAGTGTGAGGGAGTCCCCTACAACCCCGAATCCCCAAGTCCCGAATCCCCAATCCTCAATCCCGATTCTGGATCCTCAATCCTCCCCCTAACCAACCCCCTTGAGTACCTTTGTACTTAGGCTTTGAATTTATTGTGCAGTCCGATCAATATTTTATTGTTTTCGCGCAAAACTTCTGCACCTCCTTGGAGTTTTCGAGGTGGTTCTCTGTGCTGTTCTCGTGGTGCGTTATCAGTTTCGGGGATTCGGACTGGGCGGAGGGAGGGAGGGAGATCGAAGGTGCAGCTTCAAAGCGCCTTCGGCAAGAGGGACTTGCAGGAGGAGGGAACCCATATCGGTTTCAGTTTCGGCCACATGCAAAACAATAATCGATGCCGTTCAATTGGCAGGCTCGCCGCGGTCATTCCATTTAAAAACGTGTTAAAGAGTGCTTCCCGGGGTGGCTGCAGGGGGGTTCGAGGGGAAGGGAGGAGGTTTTTGGGACTGAAGATCACGCCCACAACTGCACCGCCCTGGCCTATTTGATTTTGGATGCGTTCATTCCGCCGCCTGCGGCCGCACTTCATCCTCCACGCGAATTTATGATGTGATTTCGATCATTTGACATAATCTATTTAGCGTCTGCTCTGGTGCTCCTCCAAGTCCTGGACTTTGGAGTTCTGGATTCTGGATTCTGGATACTGGATTCTGGATACTCGAATCTCGAATCTGTAGTCTTGACTCTCGCATTCGGTTTCGGTATCCTCCTCCTGCGATCCGCTCCAGCATTGGGGGCATAATTTGTAATGAGATAATTTTATTTGCTTTGCCCAATGACTTGTGTTTGGCTACGGAATGGGTAGGTGGATTCTCTGGGAGGCGGAGATGGTTTCCGAGTGATATTGCAGTTGGTTGCCCTGTTGCGGCTTATTTATTAGTGCCTCCTCGGTCGGTGTTCGAGAGAGTTTAGGCTAGGAATGAGGATGAGAAAGCAGTCCTTATAATGAGTCATCCCATCCCAGCAATTAGTAAACTCTCTAACCCTAATCTGAGGGAATTTGTTACCTCTTGATAAAGGACACACGCAGGATAATGCCGAAGCCCCTTAGCCAAGTCATAACCATCGAGATTCACTTTAATGTCACTCAGCTACTGCAGGAGAGAGCGATGCTGCTGTTGGTCCACCAGCTAACCAACACGCAATCTTTTACGAGCATATCTAATGCCCTTTGGGACTTTACGACTTTCACCTACCGCAGCAGCAGTTGACATCGCTTAACCCTAGCGAGAGCCACAGATAAGGGGTTAAGGCAAAGCGGCTACTAATTAATACAGAAGCCACTACAGGAAAAAAGGGACACGCGCCCTGCTCGAGCGATCTGTATCGGCCCAGAGACTACTAATTAAGGACCCAGGAACAAGGACCCACCGCACAGACAGGCTCCTCTGCCGAAGAAAGTGATGTAATTAAATTGTTCTTCCTTCTCTCCATGCACTTGCTACACGGAAAAGAATGTTGCATGATCGATTTTACTACAGCTACTTGATTTTACACTGCAAACTTAGGGTAGAAATACTGCAAAGAGGGGAGCAGAGATTCTCTTTTGATTGGGAATCAACTTTAGGGAAAGGCGGCTAAAAATTTACTTTCCTAGACTTGAATGCAGATCTGCTAGGAAATGGAAAACAAGCTCAACGAGAAGCCAATATTGGCTTAGTTTGAGGAATAGTAAGAACTAATTTACGCCGCAGGTAGAGATTACGAGTTTTGATAAAAATCGCAACATTTTTATCAGAATTTTCCTTATAACTTTGTCGAAATAAGTCCTACGGCTAAGTTATTGACTGTTTTGTGAAGCTAATGACCGAAACAAACTTTCTGTATCATTACTTGAATGATTTTATTAAAATCATTTTTGACTGAAATTCGAATTTTCGTCATTTTTTCGAAAAATGGCTAAAAATGTACTTTTTTAGGTGGGAACACAGTTCGACTAGAATTTTAATTACGAGTTCATCGATGTATGGCATTCTAAGTTTGGACAATTTTTGGCTTAGTTAAGGACAAAATACTGCAATCTTGAGAAGGGAAATGGGATTAACCAATTTGTGGATATGCGATAAGGGGTAACCCTCAAGGGGTAATCATCAAAATAGCTAAAAATGGCAAAAATTTGACATTTTAAACTGTGAACACAGTTCGATTGGATTTTTAATAACGAATCCAACGATGTATGACATTCCATATTCCGACAATTATTGGCTTTGTTATGAGAATAATTCTGATTACTTCTAAGCAAAAATCAGGATTTTGAGTTTCGACAGAAAATGGCACTATTTTCATCGGATTTATGCCTATAACTTAGCCAAAACAAGGCTCAGAGCTAAAGTAAAGACTGTTTTGAGCAGCTTTCGACCAAAATAAACTTTCCTAATCATTGGTTTGAGGATTTTGTGAAGTTGAATTTTTAACAAATTTTTGGATTTTTTGTAAGGGGTAACATCATCAAAATTTGCGAAAAATTGAAAGATTTTCACGTTTCAAGGTGGGGACACAGTTTTGTTGGAAATCAAATTACGAGCTCAACGAGGTATTACATTCCATAATCGGACCATTATTGGCTGAGTTATGAGGAGAATACTACCATAGTTTGGGGGAAATGGGGAGAAGCCAAATATCACACTTTCGATAAGGAGTGACATCATCAAAATTTCAGAAAAATGGCTCAATTTGTACGTTTCAAGGTGGGGACATAGTTTTGATAGAGATCAAATTACGAGCTGAAGGAGATATTAGATTCCATAATCGGACCATTATTGGCTGAGTTATGGGCATAATAATGTCGCCTTGAGGAGAAAAATGAGATAAACCGATTTTCACATTTTCTGTAAGGGGTAACATCATCAAAATCTGCGAAAAATAGAAAGATTTTTACGTTTTAAGGTGGGGATACAGTTTTGTTGGAAATTCGAAAACAAACTCAGCGAGATATTACATTCCA